GGGATATAATAAACAGGGAAAGGAAAAGAAGACGAGGTTTGAACAGAGAGATAGAAATGGGCACATGGACGAATTATTTTAAGGGTCTAAGTGGAGGGGTAGGGAGTAGAATAAGGGGGGAGGGAAGGAGAAAGGACATAGGGAGGGATGAGAAACAAATTACCAAGGAGGAGATAAGCGAAGCCATAGACAGACTTAAAAGAAATAAAGCGGCTGGGGGGGATGGGATGGAAGGGGAATGTTTAAAATATGGGGGGGAGGTGGTGAGGGATGAAATGTGGAAAATTGCGAATTTGGTGTGGGAGGGGGAAGGGTGGCCAGAAGAGTGGAAAACGGGCTTAATAGTTCCAATTGTAAAAAAGGGGGAGGGAGGGAAGGTGGAAGATTATAGGGGGGTAACTCTGATGCCTGTCGGGTATAAGGTGTATGCGGAGGTGGTTAGGAAAAGGTTGGAAGAAGTGGTGGAAAGAATGGGGTTAATTCCGCATAATCAGACAGGATTTAGGGAAGGGATGGGGACGGTAGATAATATATACGCATTAAATTTTTTGGTAAACAGAAGCATTAAAAAGGAGAAAGGTAAATTAGTGGCGGTGTTTGTTGATTTTAAGGCGGCCTTCCCATCGGTTAACAGGGGGATTTTGTGGAAGACTTTGAGAGATTTGGGTATAGGGCAGGGGTTTATAGAGAGAATTAAGGAATTTTATGAGGACACCAGGGAAAAGGTTAAAATTGGGGAAGAGTTGGGGGAGGAGTTTTGGTTGGGTAGGGGGTTAAGGCAGGGCTGCCCCCTTAGTCCAATCTTGTTTAATTTGTTAATGGCTGACTTAGAGGAGAAAATGGAAAGAAAAGGTAAAGGGGGAGTGATTCTGGGAAAAAGACGTGTGTATGTACTAGCGTATGCGGATGATGTAGTGTTGATGGCTGAGAATGAAAGAGGGATGAAACTGTTGATGAAAGAATTTGAAGGATACGTCAGAAAGAAAGATTTATGTGTGAATGTGGAGAAGACAAAAGTGGTGAGATTTAGAAGGATAGGGGAGGTGGAGGAGGTGGAATGGAAGCTAAATGGAAGAAGAGTGGAAGAAGTGAATGAGTTTTGTTATCTGGGTTATTGGTTTAATTGGAACGGGGAGCAAGAGTTAAATATTGAAAGAAGAATAGAAAAAGGGGGAAGGGTGATGGGACAGGTATGGGGAATTGGGGAGAGGAGATTTAAGAATGATTGGAAGAAGCGTGTATGGTTGTTTGATGCTTTGGTATGGGCGGTGATTAGTTATGGAGTGGAAGTATGGGGGTGGGGTGAGATTGGAAAGGTTGAAAGTTTGCATGAAAGGTTTTTAAGATGGACTATGGGGGTAGATAGGAATTGTCCGGGATACATGTTAAGGGAGGAATTGGGAAGGGAAAAGGTTGTATTGAGGCAAAGGAAGAGGGCAATGGGATTGGAGGAGAAGTTGGAGCTGGGAAGAGGGAGTGACATCGCGAGAGAGTGTTTGAGGATGGTTAAGAAAGGGAAAGCAATGAGAAGGAAAGATATTCCAAGATGGGAGAGAGAAAGAGGAGATGCGTTGGAGGAGGGAAGGAGATGGGGCGGAAATGAGAGGGAGGTGATGGAGGGTTGGAAGAAAAAGGATGAGAATGAGAGGTGGAGCAGGATAGTGGAGTCAAAATATAATAGATGGTATAGGATGGTGAGGGGAGAGAAGGAGCCGGGGTATTTAGGAAAAATGAAAAAGTATGAAAGTTGGAATAGATTGTGTAGGTTTAGAATGGGTGAAGGAGTGAAAGAGTGTAGGTATTGGATGGATGATGAAGAGAAAATGTGTAGGATGTGTGGGTTTCAGGTAGAAGATTGGAAGCATGTTTTGGAGGAATGTATGGGGGAAACTGAAGTGGGAGGGGTGGAGGGAGGGATGGGGGATAAAATTAAGTGGATTTTGGATGAGAATGGGAAAGGGGAAAAATGGATAGAAAGATTAGAAAGAATGAGAGAAGAGAGAATGTATTAGGGCCGATAAAGGGAGGGGTTTTTTGTATTGGGGTAAGGCAGTAATGCTTAAATATAAAAGGTAGTTTGTAAAGTTTTTAAATTTTGACGAAGCCAAAAAGGGCAAATTGGAACGGGAAACGGAAACCCGGTGCACTGGCGGATTGCGATTAGTAGATATAAGTAGAGCGTATTAAGTTTAGTTGTAAGTGAAAATGTATTTTAGTTTTAAGTAGAGGATGTGTATTAGGGAGTCTCGAACCCTGCGTGAGCAGGGAGAGTAAATAAAGATAATATTAAAAAATAAAAACTTTAACTACTTAATTTCAAAATAATTTCACTTAAACTTTTCTCAATGGGTCATTCCAGCAAAAATCGTCTAGAGCTGGTTGCTCGATAATTTTAAAAAATTCTGTAATTAATATATAATATTCTTCAATACAATTAGATTATCCTTTAGTGGTTTATAGCACCAAATATATTTTACATTCTTTTAAATAATTATTTTAAATTTCGAACTGGTTATGAAGTCTAACATAACCCATTTTTCGAAAATTCAGTATAAATAACTAAAAACAGATTAAAAATACTGCTTTTTATTTTAAATATATATATTTTTGTTAAATACATTTAAATAAACGAAAATTATTAAAAAATAACTCACCAGAACATTTAAATCAGTATTTTTTTGTACTTGCACAGTATAATAAACATCATTTTCTTTTTCTTATATCTTCTGTGGAGAAAAAGGAATCTTCACGAAACCTTTTAAACTGGATTTGTTTTAACATTATAAATTTATTTTAATTGAAATTTTTTTGGGACCTGTACTCATTAATTATTTAATAAATATGAAAAATTATATAAATTTAACCTGATTTTGATTAAATTTTTATTTTCATGACTAGACTGAAGTTCATCACCTTATCGTTTTTTTAAAGAAAACAAACTTCAGTCTAGTCATGAAAATAAAAATTTAATCAAAATCAGGTTAAATTTATATAATTTTTCATATTTATTAAATAATTAATGAGTACAGGTCCCAAAAAAATTTCAATTAAAATAAATTTATAATGTTAAAACAAATCCAGTTTAAAAGGTTTCGTGAAGATTCCTTTTTCTCCACAGAAGATATGAGGAAAAGAAAATGATGTTTATTATACTGTGCAAGTACAAAAAAATACTGATTTAAATGTTCTGGTGAGTTATTTTTAAATAATTTTCGTTTATTTAGATGTATTTAACAAAAATATATATATTTAAAATAAAAAGCAGTATTTTTAATCTGTTTTTAGTTATTTATACTGAGTTTTTGAAAAATGGGTTATGTTAGACTTCATAACCAGTTAGAAATTTAAAATAATTATTTAAAAGAATGTAAAATATATTTTGTGCTATAAACCACTAAAGGATAATCTAATTGTATTGAAGAATATTATATATTAATTACAGCATTTTTTAAAATCATCGAGCAACCAGCTCTAGACGATTTTCGCTGGAATGACCCCAATAATTAATTCTTCTACAGAATTGTTAGTTAAAAGTATGAAAAATTAAAATTTTCAAAGATTTTAATATGAAACCTTTTCAAAATTCAATTATTTCTAAAAATTCACGATACAATGCTTTTAATATTTAATTATTATCCAAAATTTTAACTGAAATTCATTTATAAATTAATTTTTATTAGAAAATTCTACGAGAATTCAATTATTTAAATACAAACATAAAGAATTTATTAAATAATTGAATGTTTCTGAGAATTGAATTCTTTTTATAAAGAATTTTATCAACACATTTTTAAATAATTAAAAAAAAATTTTTGAAAATAATTGAAATTTTGCCAAGAATTTTACTAAAAATGATAAAAATCATTGAATTTATGTAAAGAATTTTAATACTTTTGAAAATAATTGAATTTTGGAAATTCAATTATTTCTTAAATTTCACACTTTATTGCTTTTAATACTCGATTATTATCTAAACTTTAACTGGAAAAATTGAAATCAATTAACATTAGAAAATTCTACGAGAATTCAATTATTTAAATACAAAAATAAATAATTTATTGAAAAATAATTAAATGTTTCTAAAATTGAAATTCTCATAAAGAATTTTATCAATAAATTTTTAAATAATTGAATTCTTTCAACAAATTTTAATAAAAGTTTTAAGAATAATTACACTTTTCGAGGAATTCCATTAAAATTGTATTAAAAATCATTGAAATTCTGCATTGAAATTTTTTATTTATGAAAATAATTGAATTCCTTAAATGAATTTTATTTACGAAAATAATTTAATCCCTATAAAAATTTTATTATTTATAAAAATAATTGAATTATTTAGAAGAAATTTATAAAAAAAAATTGTAAATAATTGAATTTCTGTGAAATTTTTATTATTTTTTGAAAAAAATTAAATGTTTACGTAGAATTTTATTATTTTTTAAATAATTGAATTCTTTGGGAAAATTTGATGAAAATAGTAGATATAAAAAAAATCATTGAATTGAGGAAAATTTTTGAAAATAATTGATATTTTGCCAAGAATTTTGTTAAAATTTTTGTAAATAATTGAATTTTAAAGAAGACTTTTATTATTTCTAAAAATAATTGAAATGTTGACGTGGATTTTTTAAAATTTTTGATCATAATTGAATTTCTACTAACAATTTTAATACTTTTGAAGATAATTGAATGTTTGCAATCATTTGTAATTTCTCTAAAATTCTCCAAAAATTATATCGTACAATTTACGACAATTTACGAACTTTTCGTCCTTTTTCTATCAAATTACGTACTTTACGGACCTTTTTTCAGAAAAAACAGATTTTTACTTTCCCAAATTTAACAACCGAAGTCAAAGACTTATTAACCATTGGAATTGACAATAAATTATAATCTTTTAAGATCTTTGACAAATTGTACAGTATTTAAAAAAAATATGGAATAATTAAATAAATTTTTATTTTATAATTAGGCGTAAAATGTATTTGTTGAAAACTTACCACACCGTCTGAGGAGGTTTCTTCAAACCCTCGAAAAGCGGGCATTGTGGGTGGAGTTGTCCTCATATCAAGAGGCAACCAATCACCTCGAGATGGAGAATTACCATGAATGGACGTCATATGTCTTCCACCTCGCGTTCCCAGTCGTGGCCTGCCACGACGAACTCTTTTTGCTGCAAAACAAAAACAAAAAAACAATTATAAATAACATTATATTTTGAAACAAATTCTAAATTATCGGTTTTTTATATAGATCTAAAAATCTAATAGAAAAAATTTTTAATTTTACCCCCTAAAAAACTTAGTTTTACCTAGTTCAATATAATAATTTTTTACTCAAAATATTTCTCAAAAATTCGTCAATTAATTTAAAAATATTTAACCAACAATAAAGAATTATATGATAGAGGCAAAAATGTACAAATGAAAATGAAGAATTATGGAAATTATTACCTTTTTTTGATGACAGGTGATGATTAATGTATCTAGTGACCTAGTCCGAATGGACATATAAATTCTTCATTACGTTTAATATAATTACAAATATTCACCCGAGATGTCAATTTTAAACTTTGAAAAATTAAAATATTAAATACAATTATTCTAAATAATTTGATAATTTTTATGATGAAATTATCAAAAAAAATTTCTCTTTTCTCTGACCCGACAAAAAAAAAAGAGCAGGAAAGAATGAGAAATTGCGTTTCTTCGACTTTTCCGAGTGTCATTTACTTGAAACACTTGAAAATGACTTCCTTGGATTGAACTTAAAAAGTATTTGTGAAGCCAAAAGTTTCTGGTATGACTGAAAGCAATTTCTTCGATTTCCTATTTAAAGTTTGCATTTCGGTCAACGAGTTGTGCTATGGTCGAAACGCCCAGAAGTGCTATTCAATAGGAATCGATGTACATACATGTACCACTCTTTCGACTATTTCCCTCTTTCTTTTCTTTTCTCTCACCGAGCTCTCTTATTCTAAAAACAAATAAGGAACAAAAAAAAAAAAGACAAAAATTACAGGAAAACAAAATTACCTTTCGAAACTCACAGAAATAGAAAAATTTAGAAATTACCTGAACAACTTCATTTTACTCTAATTGCTTTTTATTTTCTTTAACATTTTCTTTTTCGTTCTGGAGAAACATCACCAGAACGAAAAATAAAATGTTAAAGAAAATAAAAAAAAGGAAAAAAAAACAAAATTTTCCTCCAGAACGAAAAACAAAATGTTAAAGAAAATAAAAAAATTTAAGTTGCAATTATTACCACAAGAAAAATATTTAAAATAATGAAATTTAAAAAAAGTTAGAATAAAAAAAGTATTAAATTTAATTTTTTAAAAGTATTTAAAAATAATTTTTCCATAATAATATATTTTTTAAAAAATGAAAAATTTCTTTAAAAAAAATAAAATTAAAAGAATTTTAGTAAAATTTTCTTTGACAATAATAAAAAATTCTTTTAAAAGAATTTTTTGAAAATATAAACAAAAAGTAATCAAGTTTTTGAAGAATTTCAATTACGAATATGAAAATAATATTTTTGCAAAAAAATTTTAATGATAAATCTAAAAAGCACGCTTTCTTGAAAATTTAATATAGTTTTTTGTAGATATAATTGAAATTTTTTAAAATTATGAAAAAAAATTCTAAGAATTAATTTCTCAGACATGTTATTTTTCAAAAATAATTGAATTTTCGCCTGAAAATCACAAAAAAAGAGAAAATCATAACGTTTATAATTGACAATTGAAAGGAAAAAAATATATTTCTCCTGACAAAAAGTAATAAAATATTTTTATTTACTTTTTCATCATATAATTCATTCATCAAAAACTGTGCAAAACATTTTTTGAAACAAAAATTTACAGATGAATTTAAATAAAAAAATTATTTTCCCCCTAAATCTTTGATTATAAACTTTACAAAGTTCAATGAACGTTGAATTTTTAATACAAAAAATTTTGCTTAATTTGAAAAATTAAAAATTTCTTTAGAGAAATTTAATTAAAAATTTTGAAAATAATTCTTTCCTCAAAAATCTTAATAATACTTTTAAAAAATTTTATTTAAAAAAAATTACTGTCATTGTTTTTTGTTGAATTTCTTAAAAAAGAAATTTGTATAATTTAGAAAATTACAAATTTTTTTCGAAAAAATTAATTGAAAATTTTGAAAATAATTGTTTCCTCAAAAATCTTAATAATACTTTTAAAAAATTTAATTTAATCAAAATTACTGTAATTGTTTTTTGTAGATATTTAAATTTTCAAAATATACAATTAAAAATGTTAAAAATAAACGAATATTAAAGAATTATGTTAAAAGTTATTAAAAAACAAAGGTAACGTTATTTTAAAAAAATTATTGAAACTCACAACATTTATAATCGACGATTGAAAAAATGAAAACATTTTTCCGGACATAAATAATAATATAATTTCATTACAGATAATTTTTTTATGTTATAAATTATTTATCAAAAGCTAGGCAAAACATTTTTTACATAAAAATTAAAAATAAATTTAAATAAAATATTTTCTCTGCTAAATAGTTGGTTATAAACTTTGCAAACTCGAACAGCTTTCAATTTCTTAAAATAATTTTTGTATAATTTAAAAAACTAAACAATTTTATGAAGAATTTTAATTAAAAATTATGAAAATAATTATTTTTTACAAATTTTTAATAATAATAATGCTAAAAAAATAAATTTTAAAGTAATAGTTTTTGATAGTTTTTTGAATTTTTAAAATATGTAATTGAAAATAATTGAAAATAATTGAAAATAATTGAATTTCAAAAAAAATTATAATAAAAAAATTCTAAGAATTACTTTTGACAAAAAAAAATTGTTAATATACTTTTTTTGAAGCTTTTTTTTCATTTTGATATTTCATTAAATTTTTTGAGAAATTATTATTGCAATTATTTAAAAAATTTGCGATTAAAATTTTTCAATATTTGATTTTTCAATATTCTAATAAATTACTTAAAGAAATCAATTATTTTCAATGACATTTTACAAAATTTTAATTATTTAAAAACTTTTTAATTATATAATTATTTCTAAAGTTTCATTATCTTGGAAAAATTATTCAAAAATAAATTTGAAACATTTGACTACAATTTTTTTCACACTATAAAAATTGAAGTAATTTGTATTTGAAAAAATTTGGAATATTTCGAAAAAAAATTTTAAAATTCGTATTTTTAAAAAATTAAAAAAAATTAAAAATTACGTAACATTTCGAAATACTTTCAATTATTCTTCACCGAGATAACGAAATAGTTTTAATAAAATATAAAAAAAGTGTCGCAAATTATTTTTTCATTCTCAAAGAACTATTTTCTATTAAAAAAAAAAAGAAAGAAAATAGAAGCCGAATAAACAAAATCAATCAGGGCATAAAGTAGATGGTCACTTTTACTATACAGAATGATCGATTAACTGCTAAACAATTCATTAACTGAATTCAATGAAACAAATCGTTTGAACCTTCGTTCAAATGTTTTCAACTCAATGCCTCTGCGATCCGACTTTAATTCCACCAATTGTATTCATCTGATCTAGATTCAAAGAACTGAGCTTTTTGAAGTGAAAAATCCTCTCTTGAATAAAGAAAAAAAAAAAATTTTTTTTTTTCTTCTTTTTGGAAAATTTTTTTCTATCCACCAATTCACTTGACTTTATTGTTCTTTATTATTATCCAATTTAAATTATTGGAACCATTAAAATTTGACGCAGATTGAGTCCTCTCTCTCTTGGTTTTAATTACAAAGGAGTTAAAGGATCAAAGGGAATTTAGTCTGATTATATATAGCTTCGGATTAAAGACTTGAAATGGAAATCGTCGAGAGTCCTATTCACTATATTCAATAATCTTTTGTTTAATCAAAATCAGAAACAAAACTTAAATAGCAGTCATGAATAATAATTTTAATCGAGTAAATTACAAGCACATTTCAAATATAAGAAAAAAAAACCGCATATCTAAATATAGGTGGATAAAAAATTTGTTTAATTAAAATTTTTTTCTTTGAAGAAACATGAAAAATTGCATCATTTCAGTTGAATTATTATTTTCTAGAATTTTTGATTAAAATTATTCATTTAAATCAATTATTTTTAATAATTTTTGAAAAAATTCTTCTTTGAGAATTTTTAAATCCATTTGTTTACAATTAAATTTTACTAAAATTTCAATTGTTCAAAAATTCTTTAAATAAATATATATATTAGAAATTAAAAACTTTAAATAATTTCCAAAAAATACAAATTTTTCTACATTTTAATTTGAAACCTTTTTAAAATTCAATTATTTCTAAAAAATCAAGATATAATGTTTTTAATATTCAATTATTCTCTAAAATTTCAATTGAAATTCATTTTTAAAAATCAATTTTTATTAGAAAATTCTACGAGAATTTAATTATTTAAATACAAAAATAAATAATTTATTGAATAATTGAATGTTTTTCAAAATTGAATTCTCATAAAGAATTTTATCAACAAATTTGTTAATAATTGAATTCTTTAGACGAATATTAGTAAATTTTTAAAGAATAATTACATTTTTCGAGAAATTGAATAAAAAATAATTGAAATTCTGCGATGAGATTTATTATTTATGAAAATAATTGAATCCCTGTAAAAATTTTATTATTTATGTAAATAATTTAATTATTGCGAAGAAAATTATTAAAAGTTTTGTAAATAATTGAATGCCTGTGAACTTTTTAATTATTTATGAAAAGAATTAAATCTTTGCGTAGAATTTTATTAAAATTTTTTATAAATAATTGACATATTTTTTAAAATTTTATTAAAATGGTAGATATTGAAAAACATTAGGAAAAATCTTTGAAAATAATTGAAATTTTGCCAAGAATTTTACTAAAATTGTTAAAAATAATTGAATTTCTGTAAAGAATTTTAATACTTTTGAGAATAATTGAATTTTGGAGATTCAATTATTTCGAAAAATTTACACTATATTGCTTTTAATATTCAATTATTATCTAAATTTTAATTTAAAAAATTTAAATCAATTTACATTAGAAAATTCTACTAGAATTCAATTATTTAAATAAAAAAACAAATAATTTATTGAATAATTGAATATTTCTTAAAATTGAATTCTCATAAAGAATTTTATCAACAAATTTTTTA